CTCCTTAGGACACTGCAGGCTCTCAGCTAAGGATTGCAGTTGGCTTAATTAGAGACTCAGGTGGACATGAAAGATTAAATATGGAACAGGGCTGGGGACAGGCAGGAAGGTGGCCGGTTTGGGTTAATGTGCCGATATAGCTACCTGCACAATTAATTATGCCAGGGCTCAAGCGATGCGGGGAGGCTGCCACTGCTCCATCCCATCTTAGTCACTACTAATAGCCGACACACGAGGTATGCACGGTATGATTCTTCTTCAGGGCTGTGTTATTCGCCTGTCATTAAACGCATCAGTGCTGGGTTTTTTTTGGGTCTCGCAGCTGCCGTCACACCAGCAGCAAACGCACTCGGCCCGTTGGTGACTCAGCCCTGGGAGGCGGGGGCTGCCTGGAGCCAATCCCGCGGACTCGCACTGCCCCTGGCACGGCACCGGGCTCTCCCGCTCCCTACGGCTGCTGCAGCCAAGCAGATAACACCGATAACGAAGGCACAAGAAGCCCTAGTTTTAGTGCCTGCTCGAATTCCCATCAGGTGGGGCCAGTGAAACCTAAATCCCCTCCTTTTGGAGACAGACACCACCGCGCTGGAACAGCAGCTTTTCAGCTGCGGGTAAAGGAATGCCAGAGACACCGTCCTGGCCAGTGCAACAGGAAAAAGGGAAAAATCCAAACCACAATGCCCCATAGTGATCTTCTCTGCTCTTCCAACAAACCAAGGGAAAAACCAGCATGGATTTATTAGAGAGAGTCCACACAGTGGCACAGGGAAAGCAAATGCGTTTCCACCCCACTCTCTTCAACTGGAGCCGATGGAGGGTGCCAGGAATGGACCCACCAGCAGCCTCACACGCAGCAGTGCCTGCAGCCCCAGTCCTGCCAGGCTGCTCCCCTCAGAGCCGAACGTGCTTCCATGGGGGAACCACAGGCCGGACCACGCATCCCAGCTGTGCGTCAGCACACCATGGGTCAGGACCACGTGGGAACCCAACAGAAAACAATGGAGTAGGAAAGAGCAGGAGAAGCCCAGACATGGGGTTAAGCACGAGCTCAGCGCACGTGGGGTGTTCAGCACTTTGGGCCTCTATGGCACAGGAGCTGTTAGGCAATGCCCTGCTGGCCCCAAGCAAGGATCATCTTTTGCACCACAGAAAGCAACCTGGCATCCCTTAAGCTCTCCCTACACTCACTAACATCTCACTTCCTTTGCAAAGCCAGTTTGAAAAGTCAACATTTCATGAACCAGAATCTGCAGGCACCAGCACCGCCCGACCCCTTCCCATGAAATGTGATGGGGATGTGAGCGCAGAGCACCCCTGCGCGGCACTGGTGGAGCGCGCTCTGCAGGAGCACGGGGCAGGCTGGGCTTCCAGGAGATGTTCGAGGTCCTTGAGATGGGGCAGAGCCCCCGGTGATGTGTGAGCTGGAGGAAACCCCAGTGGGAGGGGTGCAAGGACGGGTGAGCGCCTCTGGGGAGGCCGAGCTGCCAGGCCACATCAGGCCACCAGCCGTCGCTCCCCTGCCTGGCCACAGAGTCTTTCCCTGGGGAGAGGGACTGGGGAAAGACACAGAGCATCACCCACCAGCCAGACCAGAGGCACACCCACCACAGCTCCGTGACTCAGCACCCAAATGAAGCTCACAACCCTCCTGAGACCAACCAGCACCCCAGCGCCCCACATCTCACCAAGGGAGCTGCCGAAACGCAGCCTGTACTGCGGGGTCCTGGCACAATGCACCACCTCTGCACCCCCGCTGTCTAATGAGAGGGGCTGGATAGCGAAACGAGAGGACCCTCCAATGCAACAAACGTAGCGGATGGAGCTGCTCCCCATGACCCTACAGAGCCCACAGCCACCTACACCCCATCAGGCAGAGGGAAGACTGGCCTTGCATGACGGTGCCCTCCTCCATGCAGCCCAGTTGGGCAGCCAGGAGCCACCAGGGGTGCCCTGGCAGTGACCAAGCCTCTGTCACGCGTGGCTCCCCGCAGCTGAATGCAACACACCTGAGCTACAGAAACACTTCCCACTTCCCCCAGTGGCCCCAGGAATCAGAGCACCCCATGGATTTGGAAATGGTCACATACCCCCACACCCAACTGCGCCCCAGGAGCCCCTAAGCCAAAATCTGCTCCTTCCCAGGGGA